CGGGAGATCCTGACGCTGCTGCAGGGCGTGCACCAGGGAGCCGGCTTCCAGCACAGTGAGTCCCGCTCGGCGCCTCCGCCCGCCCCGCCACACCTTGCCCGGAGCGCCGGGGAAAAGCCGGCGGGGCGGTCGGGACGACACCTCCAGCCCCTGCCCGGAGTACGCGGGTTCCTCGGTCACTGGCGCCGCTTTTCATAGAACTGTCAGGGTTGGAAGGGACCTTGAAGATCATCTAGTTCCAACCCCCTCGCCATGGGCCGGGACATCCCCCACTAGATCAGGCTGCCCAGAGCCCCATCCAGCCTGGCCTTAAAAACTCCCAGGGATGGGGTTGCCACCCCCTCTCTGGGCAACCTGTGCCAGTGTCTCACCACCCTCATGGGGAAGAACTTCTTCCTAATGTCCAGTCTGAACCAATCCATCTCCAGCTTCAGTCCATTCCCTCTAGTCCTACCACTACCCGATATCCTAAAAAGCCCCTCACCAGCTTTCTTGTAGCCCCCTTGAGATACTGGAAGCCATAAGGTCTCCTCAGGGCCTTCTTTTCTGCAGACTGAACAACCCCAACTCTCTCAGTCTGTCTTCATAGGAGAGACTGAGAGACTTGAGGTTTTCCACGTCTCAGCTGGACACAGGTGCTCAGGGGGTGCCTGCAGGGGTATCTCAGAGGCTGCCAGGCAAGGGGGCACAGCTTGGGGAGTTTCAAACCAGATAAGTGGAAAAGCCGCCGTTCATCCTAAAGAAATACCCTTCCTTCCCTTTCTCCCCTCCTCAGCTTGGTATTTCACTGTCTCAGCGTGTCTCAGAGCACCTTTTTACACGTGTTCACTTTTGGGGTTGTTGAATTAGCTCATAGGTTTCACTGCAGGTAGATTTTTCTATTCTGCTAATTTTACCATCGCCTGTTGAGCCTTTGTACTCGCTTCCTCATCTCTTCACCCCACTCCCCAAAAAGCTGTGATTCTGAATGCTCTGAGGGGTGTTCAGGACGGTGTGGGAAGGGAGATTTTAGTCCAGCTGTATGAGACTGACTCTGTGTGTAGAAAATCTGCTTAATGTTGCAGAATAGAAAGTGAAATTGTAAAGGCTGGTAAAGCAGAAACTGTCCTTGATGTATGTTTGAGTGGCAACTGGAATTCTCCTGTTTTTGCGGTTTGGATTGTAGCTAGCCTGGTCCTTTGCTTTCAGTCCAAACTTCTTCAAGCTGCACATGTCTTATGAGGAACGGCTGAGGGAACAAGAGTTCTTTAGCCTGGACAAAAAGGGGACTCAGGGGGGGACCATATTGCTCTCCACAACTGCCTGACAGGAGGTTGTAGCAAAGTGAGGGTTGGTCTCTTCTAGGTAAAATGTGATAGAGCAAGAGGAAATGGTCCCAAGTTGTGCCAGGGGAGGTTTAGATTGGGTATCAGGAAAATGTTATTCACCAAAAGGGTTGTTAAGCACTGGAACGGGCTGCCCTAGGAAGTGGAGTTACCATCCCTGGAAGTATTTAAAAGATGTGCAGATGTGGTGCTCAGAGACATGGTTTAGTGGTGAACTTGGCAGCGTTAGGTTAATGGTTGGGCTCGATATCTTCAAGATCTTTTCTAACCGAAACAATTCTATGATTCCGTTCTATGATTCTGACTTTCCTGGAAACTCTCGAGAGGAATTTGGGAAGGGGACACATCTTCCAGGCCAGCCTCTGCAGGCGAGCACAAGAAGGAACCTCATCAAGTGCTGGTTTGTTCTCAGCAGAGTCACTGGTTGTTACCAGCCTGATGACACTTGTGCTCGAGCCAGAGGCCTGGGATTTCTCTGGGCTCCGAGAGGGTCCATGTGGAGCAACAGGCAACACCTGAGGTTTGATCTCTGCTGGCAAGTGCCACTTCCACCTACTTAGGAAATCCAGCAGTGCTACAAATCAGAACTGTTAATTTACACAAGCATACACTCATTTTTCTAAGCTGCCTAAACCCATGGATGTTGTGACAGCTGTTTTGTGTGGCTGTCAGCTTTAAGGTTTCCTTTCAGCATTCGCTAGTAAAAGCCTGTGTCTGGATCAGAATATTTTCACTCGATTTTTAATTCTGAGTGAGAGCTGATCCTGGAACTTGCAGAGTGTAAATGGAGATTTAAAATAGGTAACTTTAAAAAAAAAAAAAGTGTGAGGGTAAACTCATAATTCTTGTAATACCAAAGATAATGAGTACATGCTTAATAGGTTAGGAGTTAACTCACGATAATAGATCTGTCAGTTTGTCATCAATTACAAGCATAATAAAGTCAATAAATGTTTAGACTAATAAAGGTTTACAGCAGAGTAATATAATACTAATTAGCAGAAGGATTGTTGGGGGCTAAATAGCACTTGTCAGATGTCACTGTTTACAGTTTAATTTGATAATGGTTGTAGTTCTGCAGCGCAGTGTGCTTAATTGGCTGTTTGGTTACTACAGCATCTTGTTCGAGTTAGTACCACATTTTTACTAAGAAACTAGAATGATTCTTCCTCAGATTAAAAAAGCATAAATGATAAATCCTGCAACTATGAAAGAGAGGTTTATTCATTGTAATGGAATTCTGACAAGCCTTGTATTTATTTATTCCAATATGTAACAAAAGCTATTAATAATATTCATAAACTGCATTGACCCATATATAGGTTATTTATAATTTTTTAACATAGTAACTAATAAAGAAAAAAGCAAAAATACTATTAACTACTACAAGTTCACTGGTAATGCTTGGTGACGGTAGCTGTGTTGCCATGGATGGTTTAATCATAGAATCACAGACTGGTTTGGGTTGGAAGTGACCCTAAAGACCATGTAGTTCCAGCCCCATCTGCCATGGGCAGGGTCACTTCACCCTAGGCCAGGTTGCTCAAAGCCTCGTCCAGCCTCGCCTTGAACACTTCCAGGGCGGGCCTGACACATCTTCCCTGGGCAACCTGTTCCAGTGTCTCACCACCCTCACAGTAAAGAACTTCCTGCCTCCTAATGTCTCATCTAAATCTATCCTGCTGTAGTTTAAAACCATTGCCCCTCGTCCTGTTGCTACACTTCCTGATAGAGAGTCCCTCCTCAGCTTTCTTGTAGGTTCCTTTCAGGTACTGGAAGGCTGCTATAAGGTCTCCAAAAGCCTTCTCTTCTCCAGGCTGAACAACCCCAACTCTCCCAGCCTGTCCTCGCAGGAGAGGTGCTCCAGTCCCTGCTCATCTTTGTGGCCTCTGGACCCACTCCAGTAGGTCTGTGTCCTTGTGCTGGTGGCTGCAGCTGGTGCTGCTGCTGGAAGATGCTGTATTGCTGCTTGTGCCCCTCCCTTGTGCCAGCATAAGTGGGAGGCAACTTTCTCCCACAGCCTGCTGGCTGATCCTTTGTAATTTATTCTTGCATCAGCTGTTGAGGTAGAGTGATGAAAACTCAAGAAGACAACAGAGAGTCAGTGAAAACGGGGAGAGGATTTGCAGCAGGGCAAGCAATCTGTCCTACTAAGGGGTGATGTGAACTCTCTTGATAGAACTATGGGATAGTTGGAAGTTCGATGCAGGGCCATTTCCTGTACCAGTTAGTGGCATTTGAAATGTTACTTTGCACAATGCCTTTCCTCCGTTCTTCGGGAACTTAAAATACTTCTTTCCTAAACCTGTTCTCATTTACTTTTTCATCTAACCTCTTTTACCGTGGGGCAGCCACCTACCCACAGACAACGGCTGTTTGACAGAACCGGCTTCTTTGTGGTCTCTTCCTGCACCAAGCATGAGACTGTGTGTAGCTGTGGGGTAAGCATTGCTGTCGTAGCTTTTATTCAGCTGTGGGGAAGGAAAACCAGCAGAGCCTCAGGCCAGCAGCTTCCAGAACAGGGTTAGAGGTTCTCTCTTTGAGCTGCCTCTGCTCCCTGTCCAAAACGGAGTTTGAGAACTGCTCAGAAGGTTGTTTGGGGCAGCGTGTGCTGCACCTGCTGTTAGCTGACAGGGTCTTTGGAGGCTGAAAGTCAGCTTAGCGTGTCTTTGCTCATGAGACACATTGTGGTAAGTTTAGCAGAACATCAGTGGTGGTATGCAAGGAGGCACAAGGATAGTTTGAAGTGTGTGTGTATCCTTTGGCACTGTTGTCTGAAACTTTACGGTAAAGATTGCCCATTTTTGCCACATATTCCTTTGGCAGAAGCCAAAATGCAAATTTATGCCTCAGCTCTTGGTGTCCCCAGCTGCCATGTGACAGCTTACATGACTGAGGCAGAGACCGTAGTTTGAGGCTGGTGTTCAAAGGGCAGCTGTCAGTGAGCTTCACACATTTCTTTCCTTCTGCCTACCACGCAGAACTTCACTTTCATCTTCTGCTTTCATTTATAAGTGCTCCCCACCCCTTTCCCTTTTTTTTTTCATTGAATTGATCTTTTATTAATTGAAAGAAGTGTCTAAACACACTTAAGCGACTCCTGTTAGGGCTTGTTTGATGAAAAGCATTCATGACAGCTTTCAGACTTATCTTCTATGGATCTTGTTTAAATAACCCTAGCTTCTATTCATTCAGATGCAGGAAAGTCTGTCAGGTTATCTTCTGCCTTCCTTGGGTGGTGACCAGGGTTTCTGAGAAGGCCACAGTTGAGAAGTGCTGTTTGATGAGTTCGCTTGGGCCATGGTACTGCTGGTGCAGCGTGGCTGTAATTGTATCCATAAACAGGAGGTGGCAGTGGGGGGGAGATGTGCCTGTATTTGTATCCATAAACAGGAGGTGGCAGTGGGTGGTACATGAACAACAGACTGTGTCTCTGCAGAGCTGTGACATACGCTGGGCAGGCTGAAACCCAGTTTCTTCAAATACATCACTTGAAAGCAGGAAATGTTGTTTCCTGAAGGGATGTTGCATCACATTTGACCTAACTGAGCGATAAAAAAAATATTCTAAGATTTTTAAATGGAGAAAGGAAAGTTGCTTTTCCTTTGACTCTACAAGTCGTTTGGCAGCGCTGCTTGGTGCTTGTGCTTTCTTTGGGGCCAGCTGTGTGCGGGGCTGGTCTGTTGCTTGTGATCTGGTCGTTGCTGTTGTTTAGGGCACTCTCCAGAACATGTTGTTTCTCTCCTTATAACACCTGTACAACGCAGATGGCCATCCCTTTCTCCTCCTTCGTCCACATAGCTACAACTAAAAATGTCCCGTTACCAGCTCATGCCTGATCTCTGCTGAGTCCTTCCTCCCGCAGTGCCACCTGTAGCTCTGCCGCTCCAGAGCACTGCTGCCTGACTGGGCGTGTGACATGGGGAGTGTGGCTGTCCCTGCGCCACTGCTCTTGCTGGCTCCCTCCCTTGCACACACACCCACCCACACCCATCTGTTGCCACAGTTTCAGCTCTTCTACATTTACAGACTCTGGAATGAAATTGCCCCTCTGCTACCTCCTATGAGGTCTTGCACTCAACACCTTTTTCAGCCTTTCTCCAGCTCTGTTATCTCTCCTTCAGTTTGTTGCCCTGCCCAGCGTGTCACCAGGCTCCTTTGCTAATCGGTTCCTTCCACAGACAACCACCACATCGACTCGGTGTTTTCTTCATTTTTGCCTTAGTCTGTTTGTGTCCGTTTGTAGCAACAGTAATTAGTCATAATTACCCGTGATTCTTAAATAACACCAGGGCATTTTGGCTCAGGTTTGAAACTACAGACTAGAGCAGATGAGACACCTAGAACTTGGCAGTATTTTTCCTCTACCTGTGTTGACTCTTGGTGCGACAACGAGCATTTCTTAGATTGATTCAGAATGTCAGCAGACTGGCTGGGACAACAAAGGAGCATAAGTAGTGCTGTCTGTGCTAGAAAACTGTTTGCAAAACCTCTGTCAAGTACTGAACGTTGCGCTGGTTTTTTTTCAGTACCAAAGAAATGTCAGAAGGCTCGTGAGCACTTTGGTACGGTGAGAACACAGATGGAATCTCTGAAGACCAAGTTTCCCGCTGATCAGTATTACAGGTGTGCAGGATCACGCACAGCGAGACATGGATACAGGAATTGCCTGGGCATGCTTGGCCTCGTTACTTTGGAAGAATGATTTAAAGGTTTATGGGCCGAATGCTTCTTCCTGGTTGAAAACAAAATCAGTCGAGGGTTTTAACAGCATAGATAAATAATGCTTCTGCTCAAATACTCTCTTTATAACTTCACTAAAAATATCCAGTATTCAATTATTTTTCTAGAAACTGCTTTTAAAAAGAAAAAGGAAGTTTAAGAAATTGACATTTTGTTGGAACTGCTCTTGTTTCTGGAAGCAGAGCATTTGCTGTTCCATTAACTTCAGTGAGGTGGTTAGGTTTGGGGCATTTCTGGGAACAGAGATCTAAATCTGTCATGAAATGAATGTTTGATACTGCAGATACTAAATGAAGTTGGCACCTTCGTGTTTCGTTCCTGCCAGAAGGGGACAGTGTCTAACAAGAACATTCCAAAGAAAAAGAATCTTGTCAGCTCAGATTTGCTGAGGGAAGATGGGAGGCAAAGCCCAGGTTGTCTCGAGGGCACAACAACCTGAAAAACTCGGTGAACCGAGTAGGTGTGTGAGAGGTGCAAGCAGTGCTGGTGTCCAGCGTAGTATCCTGGGAGTGAAGTTCTGGGGTACCACGGAGATGAATTTAAGCTGGTGTCACTTTGATAAGCCAAATATATTGTGAAGTGCTGTGTGTAAAGGTGGAAAACATGATGTATACATAATGTATGCTTATTGCCTGACTCTCCAGCAATAGATGTTACTTAAACCTTGACTTGGTGTTTTCCTCAACAGATTTCATGAGCACTGGAGGTTTGTGCTTCAGCGGTTGGTGTTTCTGGCAGCGTTTGTAGTCTACTTGGAGTCAGAAACGTTAGTGACCCGAGAAGCTGTTGCAGAAATACTCGGGAGTAAGTTAATGTTACAATCGAAGAGAAAAAGCTTGTGATGTTTTTAGATGTTGTAGTTTTCAGAGGTACAGGGAAACAGCAGAACTTAATTTATTCCCAAGAAATAGGTTCCAAAGTTTATTCATTATATAAACAACAGATTATTTTAGAAGGTGGAAATCAACAAACCTAATGTAAACAAAAGTATTTATCCATTAATAAGTTCTTCATCACTGAAGAGTATTCATTCAAGTTGCGTAAGTCTACCGAAAGAATAATACAAAGACGAGAGCTTATTCTTCTCACTTTTTGCTTTTAGTGTTTAAAAAGTGTGGAAAAAAACATTAAATGCTTATGCTGTAGGAGTATTGGTTCCTCCCAGAGCAAAGGATATGAAAAAAAATCATGAAGATATTTTTCTAAAATATTACTACAGGTGCCTCTCCTGTATATTGATGGAAATTCAGTTATTCTGTTGCATCAGTTATAACCTGTTGCACATCCAGTTGAGATGCTAAATCGAAATGCTGAGAAGAGGCAGTAATTGCATCTCTTACAGGAAAAGGCTGACTTTTATTTTGTAATATTATTTCATAAATCTGGTATTTCAAATTAGCTCTGGTAACAAATGCAAGCGCAACTCGCTGGTTTTGCTCATGTTCAGTACCACCTGACTGCCACTCTGCCACTGTGCTTTTTGCCTTAGTCAAAGCGGATCGAGAGCAAGGCTTTCACCTGGACATAGAAGACTATCTTTCTGGTGTATTAACTCTCGCCAGCGAGCTGGTAAGGAAGATGTTCATGCATATATTTGGATTGAAACCTAAAAAAAAAATAGAAAAAATTAATGTGTTTTCTGACTTTCCCAAGTTGTTCCTGGAAGTTACGGTATGCAAAACCTTGATGTGAACTTCTAGCAAACTGTACTCTGTATGCTGGAGTTGTTCCTCACCAATACTTTAAGATTTAAAGTAGTCCCTTGATTGAAAATCCAGGACTATGGTCAAAAAAAAAGGTAGATCTAAGTATAAATACTCTGACTGCCTGGAACAAGACTGCTTCATTAGATAAAGTAACTGATGGGAATCGTGATGTGATTTGGGTGGGTTCCTCTGTTGATGTTCTGCTGTGTCTTCCTCTCGTAGGCCAGACTGGCAGTGAACAGCGTCACGGCTGGTGACTATTCGCGCCCGCTCCGCATCTCGACTTTTATCAACGAGCTGGATTCTGGCTTCCGTCTCCTCAACCTGAAGAACGACTCCCTGAGGAAACGTTATGATGGCCTGAAATACGATGTCAAGAAAATTGAGGAAGTGGTTTACGATTTGTCAATCAGGGGACTCAATAAGGAGGCAACAGTTGGAGTGGGCGAAGAGAAATGAAGGATGCTCATTGTAACAGCATCACTGATTACCTCAGATGGTTGCCAATTTGGGAAGTATGCTAGTGAAGCCTTCCTACAGTAGTTTAGAAGAACCGCGGCTGAAAGCTGCTCTCTATTTTCTTACAAAAGGTGTAGTTCGGGTGTTAGATCTCAAAATGTTTTGTAAAATCCTGTATAGATTAGAGTGGGAGACTCTGCTTCCCATGGAATTCCTCTTGTCAGAACACACGGTGCTGATCTGTGCACAGCAGCAATGTGTCCCTGATTCCCATGAGCTGAAATTCTCCTTAGTTCTGTAGTGTTGCTTCACTGCTCAGGCAGCGACGTGCTTCAGCTGTCTCTGCTCACACACCCTTACCGACGCGTGCACAGCACACAGCTCGGTGCAGGTGCACGTCTTAGAAAACAGCGTGTAAATATCTATATGTTTTTTAAGGCACTGATGGGGTTTTTTGCCTTTTTGTTTCTTAAATTTTTACCTACATCAGTAAGGTGAACAGATTGGCATAACTGTTTATTAACCAGACCTTTTTTTAATGGTTTCTGTTAATGTATCCCCCTTCAGAAATTAGTGAAAATATTCCTGAGAATTTCTCCATTGGAACTGGTGCATTGCACCTGGGCACGTCTCTCTCTCTCTGTCATTTTCTCCTTTCTTCCAAGATTTCTGTAACCAGGGAGAGCAAGGTTTTCTCAAACATCTGCTTTCACTGCCTGGTATTTGTTTCACTGACATGAGTAAATGCTGAGTTTTAAGATGATCATTTGCCTTGAGAACTTGGTGTAACCAACTTTTTGTTTAAGTACCAATGTTTCTGAATAGAGAAATGTTAACCGATAAACTGTAGGTAGTGCCTCAGTTTTAGCAACCTATATAGGCCCCAACTGTACCTATGTCCTGGGATTAAAAAAAAAACAAAAAGACACAACAAAAACCAAAACCTCAACACCAAAACAGTAGTTCATGTAGTAAAATGTTTGTATCTTCAGAAAAGGGGAAATTACTAGTTTGAGATACTTTGCATATCAGATGTTTGCAAACACCAACAGCCTCTTTAATGTGTGTGAGTGGACAAACACATACCCCCCATCCCAGGGTGTTTGTTCTGTTGTCCTAAATGATTTCGAGTTTTGCCCTTCTCCTACTTCTGGTGGTGCAGGAGAGTTAAGGAGAATAACTTTTTAGGAGGAGTATTTCCAGGAGGAGTATTTCCAGAGAGTGAACGCGGTCAAGTTTACGTGGGGGTTTTTTTTGTGTTTCATTTGGTTAGCAAAGATTTACCACTGTTCCATTTAGGGGTTTGTTTATTGAGAAAAAAAAGGTTTCTTGGTTATTTTGGCCAATAAAAGCTGTTCTTTGATTTTGGCCATTTGGTAACTCTGCCTGTTGTCTGCTTATCTGTTGTTATTTGAAGCTCCTTCCTGGGAGCCTACTCTGGAAACCATAACAGAAGTTCAGCCTTCAGCTGTACTAAGACAATAACAGGATTCCTCGCTTTGGCTGCACACTGCTCAGTGGTGCGCTCCTCCTTGCTGGGGAGTGAGCCTAATTCAAGCTGCAAATAGATTTCATAGGCTTTTTTTGGTTATTTTTAGTTTTAACCTATTTCACCAAGTAAAACAGAAGAGGTATGGATATGGAGGAGTTTATCACTACCAAATCCAGGATGTGGTAAGGTTCATCTTCAGAGCATCTCATCATCTTTCATGTTTTGCCTCATCCTTTGTATCTGATGTCACATTACATAGGGAGATGATAATATCCCTCTCTCTCAACTGAAGAAAATGAGGGTGTAACTTCTTCAGCCCCATGGCAATGAGACCAGCCTTCAAAGTAGTTTTTTGTTTTCACCTTATGCTACCGTTTGCTTCTTTTTCACTGCAACCCTGTGGAGGTGGGAGGAAGGAAGGAGCTTAGGCCAGTTCTACTGCCAAAACCAGAGACTCATGAAACAGCACCCTAAGGCTCTGAGACACAGCTGTGCAGGCCGAGGTCACACAGGAAGTGCGTGGGAGCAGAGGAGCTGGAGAAAGGTTTCCTGAGCACCAGCCTGGTGTCTCTCGGATGGGAGGACTCCAGGCATGCAGGACTGGGATGTGAGGCCATGTGGCAGGGCGAGTTTCTGGTTGCAGGGCAGGTGTTTGTTGAGGCTTTGTGCTGGCTTGTGTCCCAGGCACTCCGGTTGCATTTGGTCACACAACAGGTCTGCTTCCTGACGTGGGCTCCCATCTGCCTCACGTAGCTTTTTGCTAGAACCTACATCTGCCAGCTCGTGCATCTTACATGGTTTCTGAGAGCTGGTGGAGATAAAAAAGTGTTGCGCCACAGGTGCAGATACCGTGGGAGGGACAAATGGAAGAACATGTCACTTAGGGCTTACAAAGTGTGCAAGGTGTGGGATCCTTATGTCTAAGGCTCTGTGAAGAGCCACGTGCCTGAGGAAGAGACACTCCAGCTTCATGTTCCTGGAGGGTGCTCAGCAAACACCTCGTTCTCTCCTGTTCCTAGGTTTTGGGAGAGCCTAGCAGCTCCCTCTGGGAAAGCATCACTTGCCAGAGCCAGGGTACATAGTGCATTCCCAACCTGGGCCTGGGGGAACGGAAAGGAAACCACAAACTTTCTCCTGGGGCTGCAGCAGGGAAAGATGGGGACATGGTTTTTGAAGCTTCCTCTGCACAGAGGCAGCCTGTAGGACTTTGTGGTCTTGATTGCGAATCTGCACATTACTGTGGCCTTAAATGGTAGGTTGTGTTTCTGTTCCAGAGCTGGGAGCAGAGGGAAGAAGGGCAGACCCAGATGGACTTGTGTAAGGAGGTGTCTCTTCTGTGACCCTTCCCTTTGCCAGGGTAACAGGAGCAGGTTTAGTCAGTGGGCAATGGCAGCGAGAGACTGAGCTCTGAGGACTGCAGGAGTGAGATGGCTCGTGATGAGTCAGATGCAGTTGAACTCTGAACAAATAGCTCCTGTTGGTCCTGAATGGAGTGTGCAGTGTGAGCTGCCAGCTGGGAGGGCAGTGAATCTGTATAGGAGCACTGGAGAGTCTGACTCAGCAGCCAGTGGGGCTGTTCTCTGGGCCACTTCAGCCCCAAGTGTGTTCCAGGGACCACTGTTGGATCATCCTTGTATTCACCCACTGGTTTGGTTGTTTGTTTTTTTGTTCCTTATCTTGACATCATTTCTGTAGGTTTTCTTTATTTCAGTAAAAAGGGCACTTAACTAGTTGATTAACTGCTCTTTATTTATAGTGCTGCCTGTTCAACCCCTGCAGATCAATGGACGTGTTGACCTGAAACCATTCCGGAAACGGGCAAACAGAGCTCTGTGGCACTGGGTGCAGGTTAGACCTTGGCACTGGCTGTTGAACTGGGCTCTGTCTGCTGGAATTGGTTAACTGCAGCCGGGTCCAGCCACCTCTTTAAACTGGTGCTTGTTAAGGGACGTGTTAGCACCTGCACACTGCCCTTTTCTAGTGCCAGCACACGTCTTTGCCCAGTGAGCTGCATCCAGGAACTGATGTAGCTGAAACAATCTTCATTTTTCAGCGGTGTTTGCTCCCTGTCCAGTTCACTGCACAGTCCCGCACGTGCTGTGCCAGTCCCAGCTTTAAACGTTCACTGAGCTGTAACACTGTGTGGTAAACTGATTTTTCTTGCAGTAATATAGCTGCTTCCTATTTTGTTAGCATTGCCAAGGATTTTCTCTCTGGGTAAATAATTTGCCTTCATCTTACAGCAAAATGATGCCTTCTGTGCTATAGAGCCTCACTGGCATTTTTCAGCCGGTAAGATCATTACACAGCGAGGCAATTAAGGAGTAGAAAGTGAACATGGATGACTCCTGCGGTCTGCGTGTGGACATTGACCCACTACTCATCACCAGTCTATCTTCTCTCATTAAAGTACTGTCTGTTGCTGGGTGCTGCTGTGCAGCTGTACTACAGTTCAGAGAGCCTCCCACCTGCTGAATTCATGGAGTGTCGTTAAACAAGTTATTTTGAAAGGAACAGTCCTTTATGGTATTTGTCTCCTGTACATATGTTGTGGGTCAGGTATGAATTACTTGAAGGTGGGTATGTACTTGCAGGTTTCTCTGCCTATTGTTACTTCAAAGTGCAGCACTTCTGGCTCGCACTGGTTAGGTGTCACTGGAGGATTGTCCTGGCCAAGGGGAAAATGTCTGTCCTAAACGCAGCCTTTTCTTCAAAGAAAGGGGAATGCTCTCCCTGTCTGAATGCTTGCTCATCTGCATGTTCACACTATGAGTGTACAAATGTCTAACCTGCTTTTGTTGGGGAAAATGTAAGAGCCTGAGCCCTGCAAGGGTGCCAGCTGCTTCCCAGGAAGTCTCCTGGCTCCCATCTTGGTAAGGAGAGCCGTCTGCCTGCCTTGGGGTCTGTGCTGGGGCACTGTGCAGCTCTTGCAGGCTTCTGCGGAGTCTGCTGACCACCACCACCTGTTGGAGACTTCATCAGGCACTGCAGAAAGCCTAAAGGGAAGGAAAAGCCTGAGATTTCAACCTCTGTGCAACAGTCCAGGGCTACAAAGGCCTTATGTTCTTCACGTTTTGATTACCACAGGCATCAGTCACAGGATCTGCTGTGTGACCTTCTTGTGACTTCCAGGCTACCCACTCTCCTCTGCCAGCTCTTCCCACAACACCCAGAGAGGGGTCTGACTCGGGTCCTCCCAAGGCTGTGACTCTGGCACTGCCAGGGAAGTTCTGTGCTAGGAGGCAAGGGTTAAAATCCACCTGGGGCTCCACCGCCACTGGAAGAAAGGGTTCCTTTGCCTGGTTCTTCACAGGGCACCTTCCCTGGGAGGGCTGTTTGCAGTCTGGGCCTTCTCACCTGCAGCTGAAATCGTTTCTTAGAGATGCAAAGCCTGTGCTGGTGGGGATCACATGGGGGCAGGATTTGAGCTGCACATAATCATTACGTTCATCCCTGCTGGCGCATCTAGAGCCCAATGCCAGCTTTTCTACTTTTTCCAGCTGTGTAGCTGCTCCCAGTCAAGCCTGGGCAGAGACCAGTGCTGGAGGATGCTCTGCCCATGCTCTAATTTCTCATTAAGGTTCTTCACTCTGTTGAAGAGGACCCTCTATGTTCCTGTCACTCAACTTGTCCATCCGTGCTGCAGAAAGGTTTTCTTTAGGGGACCACCTTCAGCTTCCTGAGGGAAATGTCTTCCTTTCTAATGACTGTCTTTGGGGCTTGCCGGGAGGTTTTGGACTGTGCAGTGTTAGGGTCAAAACTTTTTTTAAAAAATTTTTTGTACCTGTCTTCAGTCACATTGATATTCTGCAGCAGCCTCTGTGAGAAATATGTCAGTTCCTTTGTCCGATCAGCAAAACTTTTTGCTCTATCAATACTCCACTGTAGTGACAGAAGGTCAGTCAATGATGACACTGAGATCTCTGAATATTACACAATATCTCTCAGGACAGTTTCCTCCATTGCTTTTGGTTCCAAGTTTTTTTGAATTTCAAGTCAGAGAATCTCAGCCTAATTCCATCGGAATTTTGCCTGGTTCCTTAGCATACATTCAAAAGGAAACACACCTGACAACACAAAACATGAGCTGCTACAGCTGCCATGAGCCCTGAAAGGGTATCTTTGACGTGGTGCAAGAAGACTTGGATTATCTTCCCTTTGAGCCTCTCACGGACAAAAAAGAGAGTGCAAAATTCACCAGAATCTCCTGCTGGAGACCTGCCTTCCAGAGACTTTAGCTCCATGATAGAGTCATGTGCACTAAATGACTGAAGTTCCCCAAGGTAGGAGATCTGAGATGTTCTCAGAGCTTTATTTTTCAGGATTTGGGATGTGCTGATGTCAGTCTCTCAGTCTCCCATGACAGCTACAATAGCTTCTTGCTGCCAGGACAAAGCTCCTGCTGCCTTTCAGATGTGTTCTTGATCACACAGCGGAGACCCACGCTGAACACCCCTTCCCCACCCTCACTTCTCTTAAGGGCAACCAGGAATGTACAAGAACACCATAAAAGAGAAGATCTCTGTACACTAAAGGAGGAGTCTCTCTCCTCTAAGGTATTTGCACTTTATTTCCCACTCAGGCTTTCCCACCCAGTCTGCTGATTCTTAACACAGCTATTCCTTCTTTCCTTGGGACCCGATCTCACAAAGGGCTCTTAATCCAGTGTTCTGTCATCTTGTGTGTTTCTCTTCTGAGCTCAAAACTACATGGGTTCCATGATAAAGACTGCCTTTTGTTGTTGTTTTCCTCATAAATGACTAGTAAGACTCATTCTAAATTCTTGGTAAAGGTCATTTTCAGTTTTGATAAATCAAGGGAGTAATCAACTTTCTGTTTTTCCCCCTAACATGGTATTTCCAGAGAGGCCTGCTTGTACTAGCTTGGTAAGTTCAATGGGCAGGAGTCTTGAAAAGTAATCTTAGTGTATTGTCAGTCATGACAATGAGAGGCATAAAAACATTACAGAGCCCTTGGACAGCCAGTTTGGAACAAATAATTGCTTTCTTGGCTTGCAGACAACACTGTTCCCAAGTACCCTGGGTTACAATAACATTTTGTCAGGTTTGTTAATCAGAAATGGAAAAATACAGCACAACTAATCTCCAGGGCTGCCAAGTAAGATGTGTACATGTGATACTGAAAGACCTGGAAGTTCCCAGGAGAGGGAGCATCCAGTTCAGAGAAGTGTCTGGGGATTACAGAAACTTACTGCCTCGGCAGTGTGCTGATGCTCCTCACTCTGTGCAGGCTCACCCCACAGCACAAGCTCTCATGGGGTCACGGAGATTGTTCTGTGCTCGTGTTCCCTTTCAACACCTGTAATTTAAAGGCAGGCAAGCAGCTGAGTACACATCAGATACATAAAAGATAAATAACATCGGAAGCACAACCTCCATCTCGTTTGACAGGTTCAACAATGGGGCTGTCTCTTCCTGTAGCAGGCTGTCCTGGATTAAAGAGCTTGTACTGTTCCCTGGCCGCAAGTTGTTTAGGACAGGGCTACAGCACCAAGTACACATCCTGCTCGTAACTCAACAACCGGTGATTATTTACGGACCTTCTTTTGGGGAGAGTTTGCCTAGTTCAGAGGAAATAGGCCATGATTACTAGAAGCCTGGCAGGCAGGTGTTTCCTGTGATACCTAGAAAAATCCTGAATCTGACAAATTGAACAATCACCCAAATGCAAGATTGATGCTACATATCAAACTTTTTACATATACTTATTGTTCTCTAACCTTTTTAAACGGCCAGGGTGACTGAAGGTATCTTGATTTAAAGATACGACTGTACAAACAGTCCATGGCTGGTTTTGAGCATGAATTGGAGTAGAGAAAATCACTGCGCTGGAAAGTAACTCAAAGCTCTCCAGAAAGCATCAGCAGCTTTCTGTGCCTGCAAAAGCCACTCGCTCTTTGGATAAAATAAGCTATTAGGCTTACTGCATTTATGCTTTCTCTTATCAAAACTGCCACTGGAAGAAAATTAAGAGAAAGGCAGCTGCACAATTTTGATCCCTGGAGAGAAAACAAAGGGCTACAAGCTGTTGGTTTTTGCATGTTAGGTGAATGGGGCTTGAAGGCTCATAGATGCAGATCTGTCACGACAGCATAACCAAAATCTTCCTCCAGCAGCTGCTCTGCTTAGGCATCCATCTATTTGAAAAAGAAGCAACAAGCTAAAAACAATGCCTCGTGCTCTTCACTGGCTGTTCAGTGCATATTTTGTGGGAGAAAACAGTTTATTGTCTAACGACTAGGAATAGCTGGAGGGAATTCCAACTCACCTGAGGGAGTCAGGCTGCTTCTCTGACAAGTGTTATGACAGCCACTGCTTGCTACAGTGCTCAGCTGCGTGCTGCCACCCTCCCGCCTTGGGTATGTGTAAGCCTCCAGATGATGCAAAACTTCCCACTTCCTCAAGGACAAAGAGAAGCACAAAACATTGAAGATGAGAAAATACAGCCAGTACATACATGTCTCACTGATGGTGTCTGCCTCAGTGCCCAAAGCAGCGTAACAAGTTCCCACAGCAGTGGCAAGAGGACAAAGCACTGGGTACGGTTTGGAGCCCTGCTCAGGTGTTGGGTCAGTGGTGTCTCTCACGACTAGGGCTACCTAGCTGAAGGCAGCCTCTGTCCATCTTTGTTCGTGCGCTCGCTGGTGCTGGTTGATCTCTGGAGAAATACACAAACGAGCTTCCTTGCAGGAATCCTCCTGTAAAATAAATGCCTGTAACAGAAATATTTCTTGGGACTGAATAACACTGATTGAGTTTGTTGTTACCCTGAGGTCTGGAAGAGCTTTTACAGGCTGTCCTCCAAGATCCACCAAAATTCAGGCTCCTTTAATTTAGCCTCTAGGGCTGTAATCTGGCCTTTGCTATGTAAGTCACAGCATGACATTTTGCTGATCTTGTAATCGCGAGGCCACGGTCGGTGGTAATGTCAGGCTGAAAAGGTTAAACCCTGTTTGCCTTTTTATAATTGTTCAGCTTCGAGTCATTTCCCTGCTAGGGAGCTGAGAGAGGCTGGACTTTACGGGGGAGTGCTTTGCGGTCTCAGTGTCAGCTCTCATGTCTGCTGCACTGGGCCTGACCTGCCCAGGCAGGACTGTGGCCAGAGCATAAGATTTTGTGCCAGTCTATTGTCGTCTAACAACAATTAAGGTTGCAGGCTCGTACTGTTCTCCCAGTCTCATTAGGAGTAGCCCCTGAATTCTGTTCAGGGGATTCAAAGAACAGACGTAGGCACATTGTTCACCTGACTGCCACCCACACTAAATGAAATATCTACTCCAGAAAACAACTATTTAAAAAAATACCCACCTAAAGTCATTGAAACATAATTATTAAAACCTTTTATGTTACTCTACAGTACAATGTAAATTGTTCCTTTCAATTAAATTTTGAAATACACTAGATTACATCATTTAAATAATCGCAAACTTTCAAGTTCACTATTAGTGGTAGCAGAGCTATATTTACATACACTTCCGAGATATTTCAGATGCAGCGTTATGTTCCAGTCCCGAAGCCCGTTAAGTAACAGACTTTCAGTGGGGGTATACTGCTCTTCGACAGATTCTACACATATTTGGGGTGTACATGTCAGAGAGCAACAACTCCTTTTATTCTCATTGCATTCTTTTTTCTGTGTGCATGCAGCTGAATCTGAGCAAATCGATACCTACTTGATTTGGATTAAAGACGCTTCTTTTTAAACAAGTATTTTGACTGAACATACAGAGGTGAATAATGAAATACAGTCCTTAGGAGTAGCAGCGGAAAACATTTTTTCTCCAACTTTGTCCCCTGTTGCATAATACTGCACCTAATTTTGACCCTGACTTTACCTAATGCTGATGAAATATAGTCAATGGTGGAAACCTCTCTCATGTTCTCAAGACTGGCTTTCAACACGATCCATGCAATGGCAAGCATCATACATCATTCTCCCGCACTGCAATATTAACAAGTTTTTTCCCCCTAGTATTTTCCCCCAGAGATCTGCTCCTCGAGGGAAGCCCATCTCTGTATGTACATCGGCCACAACTGGGTTATGAGTCCTGAGGCTGGAGACCAGAATTAGGTTGTGACACTTGCTCCCAGTGCTGTGAAGAGTCTTCGCAGTGGGCCAGGCTCCTCCCTGTTGCCCAAGGAGCAGAGTAAGTTCAAGCCACTGAGGCTCTGAATGGTCCTTGCATGTGGCACTGGTCAAGCCAAGTCTCCCCACGCGCTGCCTGTGCAGGACTCAGGGCCTAGTGTGAGGGGTGCTGATCATGATGTTGGGCAGCGCGTTCCGCCGCTTCTTCCAGGAGCCCAGCTCCCTCGAGTACCGCCTGATCTGCCTGAACCAGTGGTGAGTCCGCGCTCGGTCGCTGTCCCGGAACACAAACGCCTCCCGCCTGATCTCAATGAGTTCAAAAGTGTCGTCGCAGTCGGGATCAGTGGAAACGATGCAATTACTCAGCCTCAAGGGCTCCCTGAGCAAATGGAACTTCCCGTTATTTTTGTCCCTGATGAGTACCAGCACAGCATCTTTCACGGGCCCTGGCTCGGCTGACTCCAGGCTGGACTCCGACACACGCTTCATATTCACCAGGAGGAGGACCTGCATGTTCTGGAACTTCAGGGTCTTGCTGCCTTTCTTCACCCACTGGCCGTCAGGGGGCTGGGCCAGCTGCAGAGGCCCCTCCATCACAAATCGTGTTTCCTCCCTCAGCCAACCTACAGTTTTGAGGGCAGTTTCTCTCATTTCAATGTTGATGACTTCCCTCTTCTTCTTGCTGTCTTGGCGAAAGGATCGGAGGGTCCACGTGTTTCCCTCCTGCTTGGTTTTCATGTTGATGTGCTCCAGGTGGGACTCGATGCGGCTCTTGGCCTCCCGCAGGCTGCCATGGTCTGGGTGGTACTCGGTGGTGGCCTTGATGATTCTGCTGAGCAGCAGGGGGTACTTGGTGACTCTTTGCAAAGGGGCCATCAGGAAGGACCTCAAGTTCATCCGCCGCAGTGCTGTGTTGTCATTCTGGGAGACATTGAGGAATATTCTGCAGAGATTTAAGAAGAGAGAATGAAACAGTGGCTGTTTTGCCAGCAGATGCTGCAATCCTAATTGCAAATGAACAGTGTGGCGCTGACAGCTGCTGGGCATTCCATCCCCCCTCTAGCCTGAACAGCTTTGTGAATTCTGTCTTTTCAAAAACTAACAATTTCTGCATCTGTGCTCAGCTGCAGAGCAGCAATGAGGTGCCTGGGAGACTAGCACGTAACATCCTAGCAGTCTTCTATTAAATCGCTGTAAAACAATGAGGGTGTGATCTTTCTCTGGTACGCACTGACGTAGACCCGAGGCAGACACATCATCTCATATTAGATTACACTAATTTGTAGCTCCTTTCATCATTAGATTACAAAGCACTCTAAACAAGAATTTGGTACTGTCATCATCTTAAGCTGTTGCAGTGGAAAGAGAAGTGACTCGCCTGACATTGCCCAATAAGTGAGAGCTAGGAATGCGAAACAAATTCAAGTCATGAATCCTTCACACAGTGGCTTTCTCCAGTGGAAATCCAAACCATGCTCTGGCACAGGGAATGACAGCGTTATCTGGTGACAGTTCAGCGCAGTGGTCAGTGGGCAAACACTACTTCCAAAGCACACAATATACAGCCGGGGACCAACTGGGACACTGAGGATCTTTTGGAGAGTAATTATTCTCCTCAATCCAAGTGAGAGCAGCACATCACTGAAGAATATCAGCATCAAAACTTTGATCTAATTGAACTGATAAAGGCGTCACCCTCAGCCTGGCACCTTCCTGTCCCCGAAGTCCGGAAGAATGCCCTTAGCTCTCTTCTCACCTGAGCAACTCTTTCTCCTTCTCCAGTGCGTTGAGCATATTCACAGAGGAGGACTGCTGAAGACAGTAGGTCTGAAAGGCTGGCAGCATGTTGACAAACTCTAGAAACACTTCACCAATGCACACGGTCATCAGGTCATCGTCACCCTGCAAGCATGCAACACAAGCCCTGCTGGGTTAGCTCAGGAGAGGCACAAGCGTGGAGCCTGCGTTCAGTCCTATCAGCATGAACCTACTGCAGGATCTGGCGAACACCAGATGAGAGGTGAAACCGGGCTCATCCTTCTTGGTGGAAAGGCAGCCCTAGCAGATCTAGGGGGAAGCAGTGCATGGGGAGAAGGAAAGCTGGTCTAACAGCTTGCTCTTCTACACATAAAAAGTGGTCTTCTCTGCTTCTGTAGGCTTAGCCAGCCCACAAGAGCAGGGGCACAAAGGCCAGCAGCCAGAGTGAGCCTGCTAGTCAGGAGGGTGTATGGGGGCCCTTCTTGCTGGCAGGTCTGCCACAAGGCTAATGCAGCAGTGCATAAATTAACAGAGAACATTTAGGAGCAAATGGGCATGGGAGGCCTGTAACTGAGGTAACAGACATGGCACTTGACAACTTCTGTAGTTGTTCCCAGCAACTGGCCTGGCTTGGAAGCAGTCTCCTTCAGTTGTGCTCTTACTGGCTACTTTGACGCCTAAATGAAAAATAAATTTCATGGTAAAGTGTTCTCCGATTTTTGGATGCATAATAAAATAAGGGAATAGTAAGAATCTGGTGCCACATACTGCTCTTGGCTTTGTCAAGGTGTATGCTGACATCCTCTGCAATCATTACTCATTTCAGCAGCAAGAGAAGGAGCAGTTCTCTGGCTCCTGGCAGCTTTTTGGTGCAGTACTGAGCTCTGACTGCAAAGGCAACGTGGAGGAGGAGATAGGGAAACCCACAGCTGTTTGTAGAAACCATTGTTTCAGTGAACTATTCACATGGGGACATCACACCTGCAGCGCACATCTGTCTTCACTGTGCCAGGTGCCTAAGAGCCATGGTCAAAGTTGCCAGTTTTTGAGACGTGTCACTCAATTTGACATGGGGGTATCTGAGAGGGAGAGGAGGGATGTGTCTCCTAGAGAACAAAACATCCTGGTGAAACTGATAGAGCAACAAGTAGCACATTGTGGAGCTGTTTGTACATTCTTTGCAGTCATTGTCTGCTGCTCTAGAGTCTTTTTTCTACTTCTCTGCCCTCTGACCACCATACTGGTGAGGCAAGAAAGTTCCTTGTGCATGGCAGGGTTCATCAGTACAAGAAACTGGTACACAGAGCTGTCAGGGCCCCTTGTCACCAGAGCAAGGAGCAACCTGGCCCCACAGTCAGCCTAGATGCAAGCTGCAATAAACTGCACCCCAAGGCAAATACACCAAAGGCAGCCTTAGGAGAGAGCCAGCTCAGTGTTGCAAAAGCAGAGCCTGTGAGCCACACCAAGCTGAGCTCTGTGCCCCCATAGTCACACTCTTATCAGTGTCCAAGCAAACTGGCTTAAAGCTACCTTTGGTAATGGGACAGTTAGGTCCTGTTAATGAGATAAATGAGCTAATGCTGATGGCCTGCTAATGTCAGTGGCATTACCACAGCAGAGAGTGAGGCCAGCAGCTGTGGCCCAGTACAGGCCTACTGATATCACTGGTTTACAATGGCTGAGGGAGCAGGGGATTAGGCAGAGGACCAGAACCCACGAGTCCCACCTCCTGATCCTCTGCTCCACCTATGCTGCTTCACTAATACAAAACCTATTCCTGTTTATCCAGTCTGGCCCGTTTCGAGAACATAGCATCATACCTGGTCAAAGGCCTGATCGATCTCTTCTTGGAGTATCTCCAGAAAGTTCTCATTGAGGTCAATGAGCTCCTGGATGTTGCTGAAGATGCCCAGGAGCTGGTCCTGGCTCAAGAGCCCAGCTGCCTGCATGGGGAGGTAGAACTCCTCTTTGATGATGCGCAGGTCCTCTCCATAGCTGGCCTCTGTGTTGACAAACTCCAGTACAGACTCCTTGCGCTCCGTCCTGCGCTTGCGGCACTTCTCACAGAGGTCAGCCCGCCTCTGATTGCAGTTCTGCACATCCGTCTCCACCGGGAGGTCCCTTTCTCCACAGTCGGTGCAGGGACGGTGAGCTTCCCAGGCCTGCAGGGAGCTCAACGTTTCAGATGCCCTGTTCCTCCACTTTCTGGCTGACATCTGGCCAATGCCACTGTCTGCCCGCTCCACATCCGCTGACTTGGTCCGTGTAGCCTCGCTGGGATCCAGGTCATCCCGGACATCGTTCACACCAACAATCCCACTGTCTGTGCTCAGGCTGCTGACATTGCTCCAATGATGTCTGGAGCGGAGGAAGCCGCGAGGGGCCCGGCGAGTCTCATCGAAGCTGCCACCATGGCCAAGGTTGGCTTTTGCTACCACTGGACCTGAGAACAGACACAAATCATTACAGGCATGGCACAGAGCTCACCTGAGGAGCTCAAACTGGCACAGCCATGAGTGGTAGGAACCCTGCCAGATCTAGTGAAAGCAGGGCTGTAAGCTGTCTCCCATCCTGTTTTGCTGCTGAGGCTGGCAAGAGTCAGAAGTAAACAGCTCCCAGCTGAAGCCTCGGTCTTGCCGTCCCTGCACTTCCCATACTTGCAAACTTGTTTGGGCTC